AAACAACCCAAATCAGCTTTGAGATCCTTCCAGCTCATGTGTGTACCTGCTTACCTCTACTGCTGCTTAAGAACGTCTGTGGACATTCTTCACCACTGCTTGTAAAAACCCTAGGGACCCAAGGCCGACAGCTTTTTTTTCCCACTATAGTTCTCTAAACTGTGACAACATAAACATGATTTTTTAAAAGTTCAAAAAGGAAAATAGTGAATTATTCAATTTCTTTCCAATCCTAGTACCCTTCCCCAAAGGTACTGCCAACAGTTTTTATATATTCATACATTTATAAGTTAATCATATTTATCCTTATTTGACATCATATCTATGTTTGGTCTTAATTCTGTCATCTTCCTATTTTAAATTCTCCCTTTAGCTTTCTTACATGGCCTGTGTTATCTTTAATTTTGTGTTTTCATTTTAATAGTTATCAGGCTTAGAGTTTTGGTGATTACCTTCATAACTGTATTCAGAATATTACATCCTTATTGCTTGATATATTATCAATTTTACAAAATTTCTATTACATTCTGAAAAGTAAAACCAATTAGGGCATGTATATATTACCCCTTACCTTGTCTTTGATATTCTATTTTCTAACATGTTAATCTTTTCTATATCAAGATGTATAACATTTCAATATGCTTCTATAGCCTTAAATAATTCTACAACTACATATTTAAATAACCAGCACCAGTCCCGTTCTCAATGTTTGTCCATTCATCTCTTTAGATGGGCTTCATCATCTAGATTCTTCAAGAAGTGTCCACCCTCTTTTAATTTACCCTTACATTTGAAATCACTTGGCTTCCTCCCCACCCCCACCCCACCCAAGAATCTGGTAGACTTTGCTTCGCTCTGCTTTAGCACTGAATGTTGCTACAGAGAAGCCTAAGTCCAGTCTGTTCTTCGTCTCTCCATCTCCCCCTCCCAAAGAAATCACTCAGTTTTGTTGCTGCTAAGATGACATTCCCCTCTCCCTGCCCCCAGGACAATCTGCAATTTTGGCCAGATCAAGAGCAACTGTATTTCTTTAAATTATAATGTTAAAATTAGCATTTGTTATATTATCTCACTTTTATAAAACAGTTTCTATTTAGCTTAATATCCAATTTATATTTATGCATTAATTGGAATAACTTTGGGGGATGGTGGAGTTTGGGGTTCTCTTAAAATTTTCATCTTTGAAATGTTCACCTTTAATGAATGTTTGTTTTTTTTTTAAATAATGGAGCTTATCACTTTTTTTGATGGAAAGATGACTTATTTAGTACAAGTTGGTAGTAAATTCACAAGATATAATGATGTGTACTTTTTGTAAGTTTTGAAGAAAAATTAAAAAAATTAAAAAATTAAAAAAAAAAGTTAAATGTTTAAAAAGAGGAAACAATTTCTCAAACACCTCCTCTTGATTCTGACAACTTAGGTAGGTTAATGGGCTTATGCCATAGAAATGGCATTTTTTCCTCCCTGGTATCAGGATACTTCATAAACTTTAACAAGAAGAATAAGCCAGAAGTTTTCTTAGCAATATGAATTAAAAGAGTAGAAAAGCCATTGAATGATGTGGATGGAAGTTTTATGGCTGCATATGGAAATGAAATGCTTTAAATGGCCCCTTTCGAGAAGAGTCTCTTGCTTCACACTCTATTCTTTCTTCTATATAACATCTGGTGCTTTCAGTTCCCCTTTTTTGTAAAGTGCTGGAGGTTAACAAATAAAATACAGTAGTTCCCCCTTTACCACGGGGGATACATACCAAGATCCCCAGCAGATGCCTGAAACGGTAGATAGTAGAGTCCATCCACCAGGAATGTAGCAAGAATTAATAGGATAATGCAATGTAAAACAATTAGCACACTGCCTGAGAGCATAACTCTACTGCACACAACTATTTTTTGGGGTACTTTGCTTCTAATAGAAGGTAAGTTCCTTGATAGCAACAAATATAATTTGCCACTTTATCCCTATTATCTAGATCAATACTTTTAGTAGACACTCAAATGTTGGTTAAATGATTTGGAACTGAATTTGTCTGGAGTTTAGGTAAGGAATTGCAAATTTTTAAAAAGGGAATACATGCTAGGGCCAGGCTGTGGAAGGTCTCATATTCTGAGGTTATACTCATTTTATTCAACAGCTCGCAGTGACCGTTTTTAAGATGTAAGAGAGGACTGCCTTAATACTGAACACTGAAATCTTTTATCTATAAAGGTTAAGTTTTTCTCCCCACTGGTTTTCAAGTTTTTAAGCACCCATATTTTTACTGAGTAAGTTCTAGAAGAAAATATTTCCTTAAGAAAGAGGAAACTGCAGGATAATGCGGGCATCAATTCTCTGAGTGCTCTCTCTTCCTTCTTTCAGCAACTTCTAAGCTGGTGAGAGGGAACTGAGGTTCACAAAAGATACACAATTTTAAAAAAAAGTCTTAAAACACATCCATTTTGATAGAAAACAGAGGCAGCCGGGCATGGTGGCTCACGCATATAATCCCAACACTCTGGCAGGCCAAACCATTTAAAGACCACCTTGGGCAACACAAGAAGACCCTGTCTCTATTAAAAAAAAAAAAAAAAGAGAGAGAGAATGGGGGCAATAAAAAGTCTTGAGAAACTAAAGACTTGCTGTTGCCAATTAGAAGAAAAAGAAAGGGTAAAAGAAAAAACCATGGAATGAGAGATGAGTAGGAGAAGGTTCCAACAGCTATAAATTCAAAGGCCAAAAAAGAAATTCAGTCAGGCAAGCAGGTTTGTAAAAATTACTTTAAAAATCAGGAATTATCTCTGTGGCCAATTATTCTAAACACATAGTTACCTTCCCTTCATCAAATAAACTGCTTATTACATAAACCTAATCAACATAAAAAAGCAGTGGTTTTAATACCTCAATTACATTAAAAATCCAGTTATTAAAATCGTAACTATCCTTTTTCTTTCTGCCTCTGACATATACACACCCACACTCACCTACCCACACCCCACCAAAAAGTATAAAAACAAGGGAGATAGTCATGAGTAGAACTAAAGGAAAAGTTGAATATTACTTCTCTTCCAAATCACCACCTTTCCACAATCTAACAATTAGACAAGAAAATTAATGAGAATGAACTCTTATAGAAGGGGAGACAATGCAGTTTAGGTAGTTCTATGAAAAAAAAATCGAAGCTTACAAAAGTCGAAACCTGGTTAGTTGTAAAAATGAAGACACTGTAACCAAATTAGTTCTATGACAGCACATTATTCAGCAGTTCTAGAAATGAAGAAGTACTGTTAATCTTTCACTAGGCATTCATTAGAAAAGCCAAAGAGCCTAAGTTCTAGGATTGAATCTCATTTTTTTAAAAATGAGTATTTTGTTATTTCAAAGTAAGCTGTTGTATTCAACTGCACTACACAGGGGCAATATGTAAGAAAGTACATAATCCCCTGGACAAATTTTCAGTCCTGGAGAAAAGCAATACTGGTAACAATACAAGAAACACTAGCACATTTGGTAGAAGAAATGATGCAATGCAGAGACAGTTTTAAGTTCCAGGCAGCAATACAAAATGTATTAATTAGTAACAAACTCATGGCAAAACAAAGTTCACTTCTGTTTTACTAATATAGATGTATTTGGAGAATGCCAATGTTGCTGAACTTATTCAACTTCAGTTGTTAAATGTTCATTCATTCTTAACCACTAAAAAAATCTCCTTTGGACAATCCATATTGTCAGCATTATTAGACTTTAAGATGAAAAATGTGTTTAGCTCTGTAGAGTACTTCCCCTTAACAAGGAGATAAATTCAGCAAGAATCTTCTTGTATCCTTTCCAGTACTATGAAGTCATACCTTTGGAAAACTTAAAATAGGTTTAATTGTATATATTTAGGTAAATATATCTACTTCCCAATGACTTAACAATTATCAGTACAGCTAGTTGGAAAATATTTAGCTGTCTGAATATGTTAAATTATACAACTCTACTACTAAAGTAGTATGAAGTGGTATTTGTCTCCTCAGCTTTTCTAAAGCTGTCTAATCCAACTAACAGTGTGTATGCATGCTTGCATGCGTACACACACATGCTAATAGAGAACATACTGGGTAGTAGATTACTGAAAAATCAAGACATATAGGCTAGACTCAAGGGCCTTATGAAATTTGTAACTGTTTGCCTAGGAAGACATAAAATACTAGGTCTATTTTTATTCATATCCTGAAACTCCCAGACAAATCAATAGACTTGAGCTCTGGATGAAGTATGCCTAAAAACACAAAGTTTTTCAGCCTATAGTTTACATTTCAGTAAGTCTTCATATATACATATACCCACAGCATGATTAAGCAAGGGTGGAAACTTTTTTGTTTTTTAAACACATAGTTGGAACAAATAATTTCATAGATAAAAGTAATTTCTGAAGTACATAAAGTATCTGTTATTCAACATTCAAGTCTCTGCTCAAATGTTACTTCCTAGTCTTCCTTAATACCCCATCCAGAAAATTGTTCTGATAATATTTTTATTTTCCTAATACCACTCTCTGAAATACTTTATTTATTCATCTACTAGCTTATTTTCTAACTCTAGAATTAAGACATCCTGTATGTCTTGCTCACCACTGTATTTCTAGCAGATGCTTGCCACAATTATTTGTTGAATAAACTAATTTCTCTGTGTATGCAATAGATCCAAATATACCAAGGAGCACAGAAGCAATCTCTCTCTAAATATATGAGGTTCTCTCCCCTCCTCTGCCCCCACCCATCCAGACACACTTACCTGGACTACAGAGTGTTTCTAATTTTTTCACAGTATATTATTCTCAGTCAGAGGTGGAATATTTTGTTGCTTTAAAGTAAGTAATACATATTGCAGTAAAACTTATGTAAGCCTATTCAAACTAAATAGCTTTGATGGGAAAACAATTTTATACTTCTGGAAAAATAACCCCAAACTACCCATAAAAGACAACATTTATCTCACAACTTTTATATTGGTTAAAAATAATCAGATGAAACAACTTTGAACACGGCAATTTATTTTATGCATTATTTAAATCCGCTGTTTAAAAATGTTCAAAAGGCACTTCAAGAAACATTTAAAAATACATTTTTCTGACTTAATGGTGATCACTTAAAATAAGCAAGTCACCAGACATTTTTAAACCATTCATAACACCATTACCTTAAATAATTTTTAAATTCCAAAACACAAACATTCACTATGTAGTACAACACACTGCTCAGCAGTAAGATTAGTTTCCCTCTAATAATATACTTCATGTAGGTTATTAATTTGCAAGGCCCTGCAAAGTTACTAAAACTTAATATAAACTGAAAACTAGAGAGGTAAGGGAGTTGAAATAGAGCACAATTCAACTCTAAAACTTTAGAGTTGGTTTCTCTAAAGAGAATTTGTAAAATTCCTTATTCTAGCCTGTATTAAAGTTTTTATTTCAAATCTTATATATAAACACATTTTTAAAAAAATCAACAGAGGTTACATTAACATTTAGCATAAAATCTACCACACGTCTGCCAGATTGCTTCGGTATGTTTCTGTCAGGCCTACTATAAAGCAGAAAAATAAAGCAAATGAGATTTTTTTGTTGTTGTTTTTGAGAAAAGGGTGAGTGGAAGAATCCAAATAACAACTTCCTTTAATAATTGTAGATGTAGAATTAATTTAAAATTATAGAGTTTTAAGCAGGGCAAGTATCTCCAAAGCCAGCAGGCATTATTCTTAGACTTTTACTTTCCGTTTTATAGGGAACCCTAGTTAGTAGGTTTAAAATTATCAATTAAGTAATAAAAATTCTAATCACTATTAACAGCCAAATTAACCCTGTGAAGGCAGCATTTAAGAGTAACTAGAAAATGGAAGTTAGTAATAAAGCAAATAAAGAAGGGCAATAAACACAAGGCAGAAACCGTCAAAGAATAATAGTCTAATGAACTGAAAACTTAAATGGCAAATAAAATGCTAATTATAATTTAATCAAGGGATTCTTTCAAGTATAATAAATAGTGCATCAACCTGGTAATAACTATAGTTTGACAGTCTCAAGGGAAAAATTAATACTCAAGAAAACTGTGAAACTAACCAGTTAGCAAATTTAATGCTCAAATCCAATTCCATATTAAAAAAATATTAAGAGCTGATCAGTGATTTATTTTCATACCTCATTACAGTAAGAAAAACTCCTCTGAAATTCGTATTTGAAAGCAAACTGGGACAAAAATCTGCTTTATGAACTTTCCACTAGAAAATACAAGCATACCATTATTAGAGAGCATAAGACATCAAAAGCCTTGTTTTGAAACCATACTAAAATCATTTACCAAATAACAAAGATCTTAATCTAAAAGATAGTGAATACATCATCATCATGAAATCTGATTTTATGTGCTCTATGAAGTACTTGGAGAATTGCTTTTTTGTTTTTCTTTTGCTTTATTAGGTCAAACAAAACAATGAATTAGCAGAAAAATGTATGTTATAAAATAGCATTTACTACTTCAATTTTTTTTTTAACAATTGTGGAACTTTTTGATGACACTTATGTATGCTTTTAATAAATTATGTACTTATTAGTACTTAATGAACCCTTCCTGCCTCAACATAAAATTACTAAACTTGGAGAATTACAGATTTTATTGTGGGCCCTGATATTAGTCACTTTGGAGAAGCTAAAAATTTGGCCAAAATGAATGATCCAATGACCCTTTAATTTATCTTTATTTTAGATTTAATATAGTGTGATCCTGTACTACAGTGATTTAAAACATGCTTTTTGAAAAATGTCTTAGTAATGGGGCAGTAATCTTCGTGTGTTTCAAACACTATTTGCACCAAAATCACGTAGGTTGTTGGGTACTGGTTCTCAAACTAGGATAAGAAAGACACCTGCAGAGTTTGCTTAAACACAACTGCTAGCCCCTGCCCTTAGAGTATCTGATTTAGTAGATCTGAGATGGAGCCCTGAGAGAGGCTGCATTTCCAACAAAGTTCCCAGGTGATGTTAATGCTGTTTGCTGGGACCACACTTTTGACAATCGCTGCCCTAGGGTATCTGGTAAGAATGCATACTCTTGGGCCCCATGCTTAAATTAGAATTTCTGAGATTGGGGTTTTCAGATCTGCATTTAACAACATCCTGGGCAAGTGTGAGAACCACAGTTTAAGAATCACTTTGACAATTTGGCTGGGTTAATTTGACTATTACTGGCCAATGTATCAGATATCACATAACATATACATAAAAATGGAAATAATGCTAAATGAATAACCCCAAGCCTGAGACGGTTCAAATGAACACATAGGGTTTGAATATAACTCCTACCTCTGTTACTTACTAGCTTTGTGACAGTGACAAAGTTACTTTAATTCTCTGAGCCTCAGTTTCTTTATCTATAATAGGGGAAAAACACCCAAATTTTGAGGATTAACACTATTATACACAGATTATCTAAGTACAGTACCTAGCATACAGTTGGCACTTGATAAATAATAGCTATTATTTCCTTATCTGGTCAAAGCAAATTTTTCATTCACTTAAATGCAGTATTTACACTCCAAGGTAACAGAATAATAATACAGTCTTCTATTTATTGCTCCCTATTCTGGGACAGACAGTGTTCTAAGAACCTTACATTTATTTAATCCTCATAAAAATCCTGTGAGGTAGGCAGTATTATCATCCCTAATTTACAGATGAGGAAACTGAGACACAGAGAGATTAAGTAAAATTGTTCAAGGTTACAAAAACAGTAAGTGTTGGAGCAAGAATTTAAATCCAAGCAAGTCTGACTCTAGAGCCCAGGATTCATCACAACATTCATTTCCTATGAGCAAATCTTAAGGTTTTTGGATATTTATAGTAAACCATTTATACTTCTAGTCAAGTAACACATATGAAAATTCATGTACACACCATGGTGAAGAGCTGTTCAAAGAATCAAATGAATGCCTTGAAATTTTGGCAGATGATACTACCATGATAATAGGTAAAAATTGGTGCATGTTTTCACTATGTGGGCAGAGTAGTCCATGGTTAGCCAATGAAATGAACATCCTCTCAAATACACCATTCAAAGAGGTCATGATTTTGACATGTTTTGGCACAATAAATATAAATTACTTAGCTAGCTGGGCGCTGTGGCTCACACTTGTAATCCCAGCACTTTGGGAGGCCGAGGCGGGTGGATTACTTGAGTTCAGGAGTTTAAGACCAGCCTGGCCAACGTGGCAAAACCCCATCTCTACTAAAAATATGAAAATTGGCTGGGTGTGGTGGCACGTGCCTATAATCCCAGCTACTCGGGAGGCTGAGGCAGGAGAATTGCACCACTGCAGTCCAGCCTGGGGGACAGAGTGAGACGGTCTCCGAAAAAAGGAATTACTTAGCTAAATAGCAGAGTCAGTGGCACGACAGCTATGTAAAATTGGCATAATGATAAACATAAGGGAAATGTAAATCTTTTGTACCATAAAAATAATCTCATAGAAAGTCTGTAAAATATTCTGTTATGACACACTGAGTACTGCTAAACATAATAAAAATAAAAAATTTCTTTCCCTTCAGAAACTCTTTAAACAGAGTCACTAAAAATAGAATGAAACATTTGTGAATGTTTTCGATGACAGTCTTGACTAGGTAATTCTGCGTTGTTAGAACTATCCATTAGCAAAACAATTATCCCAAAATAGCATCAACCTTCAGACTTATTTATAAATTAAGTATCTACTCTTTCAATATATAACATTTTTGTTTAAGCACTCTCCATTTTCTATTGTTTTTAATTCTTGTCAAAATCTTGCCACTGTAACTAACAGTCACCTCAGATCCTATAAATGAATTTTAAAACTCTGCTTTAAACAAGTTATGAAAGGCACAAACAAGTTCTCATCTCAACAGGATGACAATGAAATAAACCGTAACTATGTAGTTGGAAAGAGTTTAAAATAATCAATTTAAAATGTCAGTAATTCCTGAGAGTGGCACTGTTATAAGAAAAGCATCCTCAAATAGCATTAAATTTATTAGTTACTCATAATTAACAATGGGTAAATTTGGGAACAAATATTGTAAAATACATGTTTACAAATGCTATGAATGGTTTGAGTAAATTAATAGTGGAGAATGGTATTCAAGAGTGGCTAAACATATTTAGAAGAGAGACAACAGAGATTCCGTAAAAGATTACCAATTAGAATCAAGTATATAATATAGTCAAGGCCCATGAAAATTTTAAAGTGTGGTTTTATTAATGCACTTCAGGGTAAGTGCCAGTTTTATTTTAGCTTCTTCTGGAAGAAATACTACCAATTATAAATAATCACAGCAATATTTTCATTAGACAAAAACTCTGTGTGTGTGTGTGTGTGTGTGTGTGTGTGTGGAGGGGGGTGGATCATTTATATCATACTGCAAATATAAACTCAATTCTTGAGCTGTATTAACAACACTGAGCAACAATATTTCTAAAATTTTCTTTAAGGCAGATCTGTTTATTACTAACATGGTGCAGTATAGTTTTAGTAAATTTAATTATTTTAGTTTCTCAGTGACAATAATACAGATGGTCAGAAAACAGGCAACAAAATCTCTTTTCTAATTCCTCTACCTGGCCACCATTTTAAAAACACAAGTTCTTCATATATATAGATATATTTATATATTACTGTATCAAAACACATTTTAACAGACTTCACAGCTCATTTAAAGCTTCAGTTTATAGTCATTCATGTGAAAGGTTTCTATAAGGAATGTTCACTTAGAATTCCTCACTGGGATTCCAGTGTTCTATGTCAGAAATGCAGAAGTCCTTTTTCAGTGCAATGCTAGACATTTTACCTTTGTTCACTCATGATTTTCTTTCAAGGGTTTCCTAACTTCACTTTTGTATCTTCCTTTTTGTTTGCTTGACTAATTTCCTTTAGTATATCTTCAGGTAAGGTAGGTTGATATCTGTATAAATAACCATATGGACGAAGATGATAAACGAGGTATTCTAACTCATACATAGTTGTAGAATCAACATAGTGAAAAGAAACTGCAAGATCAGAACAGCAACCAGGACCCTAAAAAAGTAGTGGAAACAGGCATTGTTAATAAACAGCACATTGCTAGCATACAATATTTACATACTTATAAAGGACAATGTAATTTTAAAAGAATGCAAACATTAAAGATGGCAAGGTAAAGCAAAGGAACCTAATATACTAGACCTGTGGAATAAATCAATAGTTTACTTAGATGTCCTAATGATTTAAAACTAATTGAAATTGGTGAAACCAAGTGAAATTGTGGAAAGTATTTTTAACTGAAATAATATTCTCTCACACTCTTTAGCAGATAAAATTATTGAGATTTCTTCAAATCAAAAGAGCAGCATGTTGGAGGATAAATGTCCTCCAACATCTGCTTTCTCTTCCTAATTTTCTTACTGTAATTTTTTGCGTGGCTCAGACTCGGAAAGATACCTCTGGGGCATTCAGTGACTACAAAGCCTTGCCCATTAGGTGTCTACAACCCAATACACTTCATCTATATATATCAACTCAAGCAGTACAGTATTTGAGACAAAGCTCTCAAGCTAGACTTGGGTTTGAACCCAAATTTTGTGGGCAAGTATACGACCTTGAGTAAGCTATTTATTCTCTGTAAGATTCAATTTCCACATCTGTAAAAGGTGGTTATTTAAAGGAGACAATGTGTGTAAAATGCTTGGAATTACCCTTTGCTTAAAATAAGTGCTCAATAAATGTTAGCTATTATTGACTGAAAAATCGTATCAGGTGGCCCTCAGGTAGGTCAGATTTAAACCTTTGTCCAATTATGTAATTCTCATAAATTCCTAATAGGGTTGGTATGAGAACAAAGTTTAAAATAAAACAACAATACAATGAACAAGAAAGCAGTAAAATTAAGAAGACAAAAAGAGACGAATTAAGCAGTCAACCTAGAATCAGAATTGGTATCTGGAGAACGTTGGTGTCATCCAGGTGACTCCAACAAAACTTCAGGCTCCATCTGACATCTTTGTAAAGAATGAGGGAGATAGTCTAGCAAGTTCCAAGAGAAGATGCATATTGATTGAATATTTAATAAATCTAGTAATTCATGTTTGGAAGTATGTAGCTTACAGTGTAGTAAAAGTTATCAAACTGTCCGCTGCATTTTCTCTGCTGTTATCTCTGAACTTTCCTTTGAAACACACACTGGATATGTGGATTCTTAGACAACCTAGTCTTGCACCTTTAGGAAATACCAGAATAAAAGCAAATAGGAAAAATAACCAGATAGGTCAACTTGTGATTATCTAAACTAGCTCTGTCCAACAGATATGTGAGCCATATAGTAGCCACATTAAAAATGTAAAAAAAAGGAAAAAAAATGAAATTTATTTAACGGAAAAATTTCATCATATTGTTTTAACATGCAATAGTTTTACAATGATTAATTAAACCATTCTTGAAACCAGGTGTGTATTTTATTTATGGCATGTCTCAATTTGGACTAGCCAAATTTCAAGTGCTCAATAACCACATGTACCTTAGTGACTACTATCCTGTCCAGTGCATATTAAACTTAAGGACTAGACCAGTAATAGTTTTAAATTGCTGACCTCTGGAAGCAATTTTTATGTTCTCTAAAATAATTAATATTTTTGATAAGATTTACTGCATTAATTATGTTACTCTTATTTATATTTTACTGGATAGTCAGGATTCTGTTAGGCATTTATGCAATAAAAGACAATAAAAGAAAAAAGCTATAATTATTAGAAAACAAGAGCTAGCAGACAATTATGGTTACCCAAAAAACTCAAGAATCTCAAGCGAAGAATCATCAGAATAGGGAATTCAGTTACAAAGCCAGATTTTAAAGATGCTTAAAAAGAAAACCAAACAAGTAAGTTTTCATATATATCAGTAAAAAGGTTAAGTTTTTAAAAAGCCCAAGTAGAACAGTAACAGAAATATTGCGTACCTATGGAAATGGTTTATAAAACTTGACCAAAGGACCTAAAAGGCAACTTAAAAAAAATCCTTGGCAGTTATCCCTAGATTAATGAGCTTGTATGCAAAGATAAAGAAATGAGTTGCCAAAACACTTAGAAAAAAAGAAGAGTTAATTTGCCCTTAGAATAGTAACTTAAAATTACTGTAAAGCTACAAGGTTCAAAATAATATGGTGCTGGGCCAAAATCAAATTAGAACAATGGCATAGAACTGAAATCCCAGATATAGATCCTACTATAAGTAAGGGCTATCTATCGTGTACGATAAACGAGATATTTTAAATCAGTAATGAGTTAAAAAATGGCAGTAGAATAATTAGTTAACAATTTAAAAAAATCAGGAGCTCTCTACCTCAATTATGTACTAATATGTTTCAGACAGAATAATGTAAATGAAACTGAAGAATAAAATAAATCATATTTGACCACTTCTGACCTACAGAAAAGTCAATTTTTCATGTAGAGAGATATACATAAACAATTACATATATATTTTAAATCTACCATATTAAGACTCACTGCAACTTCTCTGGTGAAAAGTCTATTACTAAGAAGGTGGAGTGGGAAGGGAACTGCTTAAGAGTCAGTTCTGAACAAGAAATTTAGGAATGTAACTCTTTCATGAATTAGAGTATCTTTTACCCTGGCTCGCTAGATAAAAATTTTCTGTATTTTCAGTAATTAGTACATAGAAAAAAAAGTATAAGATTTAAACTCATTTAGGGGGAAGAAAACTTACTAAATGATAGATGAATAATAATAGAATTTTAGTTTCACGTTGGGTTTATGTAAGAATCTCCTGATGGAGAACAGGCAATGTCAGATTGATGGGTCAATTTTGGTACTCTGAATTCTGTTTTATGTTCTTCAACATAATTGGATAAATTTTTATAGAAAGAACAAATGTGCCATCCATTTAATAAACCACTACAATGTAAATAAAGGATGCACTATATTTATTTTGTTCATATAAAGCATATTGTTAGGTATACTTTATTTGCAAACAGGAATTATAGGCAGTACTTTTGAAAGGGAGGCTATTTTACTGTTTACAAAATAATGACAATTATGATGTCCCTTTGCTACTCTTGTATGTATACCCAACATTAGATACTCTTAGTAATATCTTATGTGCATTTGGATGTATTTGCTACATGTTTATATTCTTGAATTTGGGTAAATTTTTTATATGGGAAAAGGATACAGAATTAAGAAAGGAAAAGATCAAGTCATCTTGGAATGGTCAGAACATATTAAGAAAAGTTTACATCAAACAAGCATCCAAAATGGTACTCTCACTAAAACAGAAAAACAGATTATGAAAAGTTTCCTTTTAAAGCTGATTACCTAAAGCTCGGGTCAGATGTTCTAGGACAGGATCTCTGAACCATGGTACTACTGACATTTTGGGCAAGAGTAATTCTTTGTTGTAGGAGGCTGTCCTGTGCATTTTAGGATGTTTAGCAATTAGTAGGTTTATAATGTAGTGGGTTTTTACCCATTAGATGCCAGTAGCAGCCTCCTAGCTGTAACAACCAAAAATGTCTCCAGACCTTGCCAAATGTCCTCTGAAGGCAAAATTGCCCTGGGTTGAGAATCACTGTTCCAGATGATGATCTGAAAGCATTGCCTTATGAAGATGAGAGTAGTAGCATGAAGTCTATTATTTATATGTTAGGTCCAGAGAAAAGAAGGCATAGAGAATTAGATTTCATGATCCCCGGTCTCATTCAATTATCCACTGAAGCAATGCTTATAATAATGAACATAGCACATACATAATTAACATTGATAAAGCTCAATGTTGTATGAAAAGGGGAAGTTGTAGAAAGATGCTTATTTAAAAATCTGAAAAACAATATTATATGTTATTGATACATAAACATGTAGAAAAATATAAAACATTCATGTTAATGAGTAATATTAAATTCATGACAGTGGTTAACTCCAGGGAAGGAGGTTGGAGAGGGTACACAGGCCTCAACTATAGCATTTTTTTCTTTAAAAAACTCTGAAACAAATGTGGTAAAAGATTAATATTTGGTAAAGATTGGGGCATAAGTACAATGTATATTCTGAAATATTTGTACAACTGGAATACTTCACAAAATAATGTATTTTAGATACAATTCTCAGGAATGTGAGCCAAGGCTTATTAAATGCTTACTGTGTGAAGGGCTGTACTATGTTGTAATTACAACTAAATAAGACAAGTACATTATGTCCATCTTACAAATGAGGAAACTAAGGCTCAGAAGTCAGACAAGTCGTTCGGCTATTAAGTGGGAGAGCAGGATTTGACTCTAGGTCTTTCTGAACCTCCACTAAGTCCTCCTGATGACTAGAAGGCTCTTTACCCAGATCTTCACACAGCTTGCTCTCTAATATCACTCAGGTTTCTGCTCAAAAGTCACCTGTTTGAGAGGCCTTCCTTAATCACCCAAACCAGAGGACTCCATCCCATTCTGGGTCACTCTACATCCCTTTACTTGGCTTATTTTTCTTCAGGGCACTTACTACTAAAATCCTATTTTATCTTTATAAGTCTGCCTGTTTACTGTATATCTCCTCATCCAGAATGTAAGGTTCACGAGAACTGGAATTTGGCTGTGATGTACTTCTACATTCTCAGTGCCTGGCATATAACCAAGAGATGTTTGCTAAGTGACTACTGCTGACGTCCCTGTTCTCATCTATTTTGTTATACTGTCACTCTATTTAAAAAGACTACGAAAGGGCCGGGTGTGGTGGCTCATGCCTATAATCCCAACACTTTGGGAGGCCGAGGCTGGTGGATCACAAAGCCAGGAGACCATCCTGGCTAATGGTCTTGGAAACCCCATCTCTACTAAAAATACAAAAAATTAGCCGGGCGTGGTGGCAGGCACCTGTAGTCCCAGCTATTCGGGAGGCTGAGGCAGGAGAACACTGTGAACCTGAGAGGTGGAGTTTGCAGTGAGCGGAGATGCGCCACTGCACTACAGTCTGGGAGGCAGAGTGAGACTCTGTCTCAAAAACAAATAAATAAGAAAGAGTCCTCATTATTGGTACTAAAGAAACATACACATATTAACACGTTTTTATCAACAAAATTCAGTCAGTCCGAGTATTAACATAGTAATAAAATTTCTAAACTTACCTCTACAGGAGGATAATAGTTGTAATTCCAGTACCAAAAGGTTCTAGGTAGATAACCTTTAATTAAATGGTGTTCTGGCACAAAGGGATGAAAAGTTTCTTTTCCAGTGGTATCTCTGGAATCTCCTGCTTCTACATTTATAATTTCCATGCATCTCCCCAGTGCTAAGTCTTCAATGGAGGAACTATGTGTACACTTGTCTGTTTTAAATGCATCAACAAATCTTTTCAAGGCTTCTTTGCTTAGTACATATCCTGCTCCTCCACTCATGTAGCCCTGTTTTACATAGGGCTTAAATCTTCTCCCAAAGTAAATGGGTTCTTCAGGGTCGTATTTCGAAAGAAGCCACCTCAAATTGTCTAGTATGACATATGTGTCATCATCTGCTTTCAAAAACCAATCAGCATCTTCTAAATAATGTTCATGAACATACTGAAAAGCTTTAATTGTTTTCCAGTATAGTTGATCTCTGCCTTCTTTGGTTTTCAATCCCACAGCAGGGAAGTCTTTATTTTCTTCTGAACTCATAAACAACACTTTGTTACAACGCTGGGCCCATGTAGCTTTGACATGTTTGGCCTTTTTCTCTAGGTTTTGAGGGCCGGTCATAACCCAGCAAAGAATTTTAACTTTCTGATAGAGGTTTTCAGCGATGTCTGTGTTCTCATCTATTAAACAAAACATTTTAAAAAGTTATTTACATAGATGTAAAATCCAAATATTAATAAATTATACTGAAGAAAGCATTTTCCTAATTTCAAAGGTTCTCCTATTTATCCCTCTATTAGTGATTTAGCCAAAGGAAAGCAAAACTCATCCTAATGTAAACTGACATTCTGATTTATTGGTTTCACGTCAGTGTTATCCAAGAAATCACTGGAGCTAATAAGAGTTGACATTATAATCTAAATTCCTCTCAAACTGTAGTTTACCAATTAAAAGCAACAGCATCACCTGGGAGCTTGTTAGAAATGCATAATCTTAGGCCCCAACCCAGATCCACTGAATCAGAATCAGCATTTTAATAAGTTCTCCTGGTGCTTCATAGCCATGCTAAATGCTGCCTTAAATAGTCTCTGCTTGGCACTTCATAGAAGAAAGCAGCTGGTTTTTAATAGATTATTGACTGAAATTTCTAACTGCTCTGAATGAGTTTCTGAAGAGCAGGAAAGACATGCTGCTGAAGTGGCAGTTCATTTTTGAAGTTCACAAGAATCAACTATAAAGAATTTCTACAAGTACCCAGAGGTGGTAAAAGTTCAAAGCACAGGAGTTGAGATTACTTCCTGATAGTAACATACCTCATTCCAAAATGTAAACCCACCAATCAAAAACAGAAAAGAACAATGGTAGACGTGGCAATTCCAAGACTAGAGCAGTGTTGTTTAAACTAGTGGTTTGCAAAGAAATAAGGAGCTTATACCAGAATATAAAGCAACACATTACTTTGAAAAGGGCCTACCATTAGAACCAACCAACCAAAATGTCCACTTAACTAAGCAGTGAGCTTAAAACTGATTTACATCCTAGTGTAACCTCATTATCTTGTGCAGACAAACAGTTTACAAACTGTCAGGCCAGGACCGCATTTTGAGTAACACTGGTGTACAGGAAGAGCTCAATGATGGCATTCTAGATGAGTACTTCTTAAGCTATCTGTGGTGAAAGGCCAATTTTTATTTCTAATACCGGTCTATACTGTGTAAATAGGATAAAAATGAATTATAAGAAAAACAAAACTAACAGAAATATAAAACACAAGCCCTATATTTTTATTTTTAGCTTCAGACAAAATTACTCCAATTACAATAAAAGTTTCTGCTTACTCCCAAGTAAGCAGCCATTCTTTAGTTATAGGACCAGAATGAGTCTATGAACTGACTTTCAGTAGCAATGTTCTGGGCAGTATCCTGATGAAGTATGTACTTAAAATTAAGGTCAAACAGTAAGTTACTTAGTCCTATGAGAAATTAACAATGAAGGCATAATATACTAGTTAACCAACTGAGAGGAAATAATGGGAAAAGCTGGGTGGAACATAAAAATATTCTCATGTCCCGGCTGGGCGCAGTGGCTCATGCCTGTAATCCCAGCACTTTGCGAGGCTGAGGCGGGCGGATCATGAGGTCAGGAGTTTGAGACTAGCCTGGCCAACATGGTGAAACCCTGTCTCTACTAAAAAAAAAAAAAAAAAAAAAAAAATTATCATGTCCCTCTGAATATCAAGATTCACAATCCAAAAGGACAATAGCAGACAAAATCACCTTACTTTCAGTCAGAAAGCATAGACATCTCATATCCTTGAGGAGCCCAATCTCTTAGTTATACAAATATACCAAACCTTGAATGGACAGAAATACTGAATGCAAGAATCCCCAATCTGTTTCATTCAGGCAAGACAGGTTTGTCCACTGCCGCTTGATAAATAATTTTTCATTCACTAATTACTTTGTACCGGGCATGGGCTGGCACAGGAGATGAATAAAATGAGTAAGACACATTTCCTGCTGCAGAGAAAGTCAGTCCATTCAGGGAGCCTGAACCTGACACACAAACCAGTAACTGCTAACTAGTAAGACATGTTATTATAGAGGTATGAACAAAGGATTCAATGTGCTGAAGGAAAAGAAAGTAGTGGCTAATAAATCCTACAGAGCAGTATATAGGGACCTGGGTAGAACAAAAAGAAAGATAAAAATAAAGAGATGACACAGAAAATAGGTTATAAGTTCACCAAAAGGAATGGTGAAGTTTGGCTGACTGCAGGTACATGGGTATAGCTGAAGGTTTGAATCAGAAATGCACTGTGGACTAAGAGGAAAAGATGAAAAATGGTAAAGAAGTATCATAGAATGTACTGATAAATGGAATTGGCTAGCATGTGAAGGCAATCACCTACCATGATTTCATAATTTCTGGCACTGACAGATGCTAATGAGCTATATAAAATAAAGAATAGAGGAGGAAGAGCAACTTCTAGGAGTAGGAAGGAAAAGGAGACTCAATTTACACATGCTGAGTCTGAAGGGAGTAGACAAACTTTTAGCATACCCCACATGTTGTAGGCCATTGAGCTGGACAAGTATGTATCTAATACACATGCCTATAGTGAGGCCTAGTACGGCCTACTGTTAGTAGGGAAATCTGGCTCCAGTTGATCATCTAAAGCCATGTAGCTATGCTACAGTGCAAACACACAGTGATCAAACTGTTCTGTAAGAACACAGAGCACCTGCTCAGAGCTGAATTACTGTTATACAAACAATCCCAAAATATGACACAGTATGCATATGTTTGCTAGTTGAGAAAACGGAACCAGGCTTTGAAATCTCACCCTTCAACCTCTGATTGAGAGGTAGTGAAGAAGTAATTATTACTGGGAAGAGAAGAGAAGCAACTCTGAATAGTGGACCCTCTGCATCCCAGAATTCCAATAGTTTTCAAGCTACTTATATTATTTTCTGTCAAACCATATTTTGCAGAGATCTTTGCATTGGGTTAATGTCTTCCCACAATGTCTGGAACTGGGCTAAAGACAGTAAGAAATAGATGGAAATTAAAATTATGAGGGTTGATGATGTCACACAGATAAACAGCTAAAGGACAGAAACTTGGAGATAACACTTAAGGGACACATAAATAACTCAACTGAGAAAATCTGGTTAGAGGTAGGAGGCTAAGAGAAAATGAAGTCTTTAGAACGCATCGTTGGTTTTTAACTTCCTTGTTCTTTGTGCCTCTTGAGGAAAAAAAAGAGTTATATTAACTATAAAAATATAAATTGAAATTTATATATACCTCAAGTTTCTCTGGGAAAATAAGACTTAAGCAAAAGCTATGAGCAAAACAAGTAACAAAAACCAAAGACACACATATAACAAAACTGGACCTAAAAAAACATTTTCAGAAACAAATCTAATCTGAATAGTTATGCCCTTCCCCAAATCACGGTTTCTGAACCATTTCTACTTAAAAATTAATTCAAAATTAATATTCCCTAAATAAATCTGGGTTTTAGCAATTCCTTCTCTCAAGGCAAACCAAGAACTGTTATTTAGTATCTGGAATATATAGCCCATTTTAATCAACAGATATAGACAGGGATATGACAAAATTTAGACTAAAATACTGCTTATATTTACTCCTTAATAAAGTAAACCATACCTTTATGTTGGCTAGAATCTGCATTGAAGTTCATTTCTCCTTCTAGATGATTCTGTCCATTATCATCTGAATGCCTCGCATGAGGATCATTATGAAGAACATTAGGCTGGATGTCACCCTGTTCTCCCAACAAAATACTAAATAGCTGGGAACATAAAAGAAATCCTATTGCTGATCCACAGAGGAAGGTTAAAAAATTCAGCCAGGATTTAGAGGCCATTTCCCGAAAGTGTATTTCTGTAAGAACAAAAATTAGCAGGATGTTATAAAATCAAAACTAGATATATAACAGGAGTAAAAATTCTGGTAACATTTAGCTATAATGGAAAGTTAATTTCTAACAGTATTTAGCTATTTATTATCTATGAGTTTACCCCTCTATTTGCTGCTTAAACAGCACACTATGGAAAATTCATAAAAACAGATTAATTAGTAGGACAGTCATAGTTGGGGTGGGGTATGGATAAGTATGTCAGAATTGCACACAGAATTTCCTATTCTTCCCATCAGGATCCTTTCTGGATCTAAGACTACTTGTCATGTTGTTTTTCTTTCTTTGCTGTTAACTCTGAGTACTGAAGTCTATTTCCTTTTCTTTGGTAGCAACCACCACCCATTCTCCAACCCAAAAGTTAGCAAAACCCTTTCTGTAAAGAAGTAGAAATGAAGTATTTTTGGCTTTTTGGGTCTCATGTGGTCTCTGTTGCATCTTCTTTTTAAACAATCCTTTACAAATGTAAAAAACAGTTTTAGTTTGTGGAAGACTAGGGTCAGCACAGTTTGGGGACCCATGGACCAAGCTGGCCTGCCACCTGTTTTTGTAAATAGAGTTTTATTTGAGCACACCCATGCCCATTCATTTATATATTGACTATGGCTACTTTTGCCCTAAAACAGCAGAGTGAATAGCTACAATAGAGGCAATATGTCTCAAAAAACCTTACCTAGCCCTTTATAGAAAAAGTTTGCTGGCTAGGCACAGTGGCTCATGCCTGTAATCCCAGCACTTTGGGAGGCCAAGGTGGGTGGATCACTTGAAGTCAGGAGTTTGAGACCAGCCAAGACAACATGGTAAAAAATTTAGCTGGGCATGATGGCATGCACCTGTAGTCCCAGCTACTTGGGAAGCTGAGGTGAAGAATCACTTGAACTCAGAAGGTGGAGGTTGCAGTGTACCAAGACTGCAGCACTGCACTCCAGCCTGGGCGAAAGAGTGAAACTCCTGTCTCAGAAAAAAAGAAAAAGTTTGTTGACCTCTGCTCTATACTGCAAGATCTTGGATGGAATCTGTAATATTAACGAGATTAAGCAGGGTACCTGGGACACAGATGCGTGTTAAACTGCCCCAAAACCAAACATAAAGGCCCTTTTTAAGGGTTTGTTAACAATTACTACATGGTGAAGTTATAAATTTCTATTAAATTCCTTATAAGATTGGTTTTAACTCTAGTTTCCTATTCCTCAAGATAATTAAAATAGTAAGTTTACTAAGCATTTATTTATACCAGAAGCTGTCCATACATTATATCATTTTAAATAAAATTTAATTTCAATTTCCTTTTTCATTCTCACTAAACCCATCTGCAGATGAGGAAAGAGAAATTTTAAAAAGTAATTTTAAACAGGTAACTCATATAGGTTGACACAATCAGGAGGAGCCACAGTTTGAATGTAGGTCTGCGTGCTGAAAAAGCTCATGCCCAGCCAGGCATGGTGGCTTATGCCTGTAATCCTAGCAATTTGGGAGGCCAAGGCAGGCGGATCACCTGAGGTCTGGAGTTCAAGACCAGCCTCGCCAACATGGTGAAACCCCATCTCTACTAAATATACAAAAGTTAGCCAGGCATAGTGATGCCTGCTTGTAATCCCAGCTACCTGGGAGACTGAGGCAGGAGAATCACTGGAACCTCAGAGGCAGGACTGCAGGACCGAGATCATGCCACTGTATTCCAGCCTGGGTGACAGAGACTCTGTCTCAAAAACAAAACAAAACAAAATCCCATGCCCTTTCCATTACATTTCTCAAACTCTTCACTTAATCACCACTAACAGCAGAGGGCAATGGGTAGTCAAAGTAGAGGTCTGGGAAATATAACCCTAAAAATCAAAATTTCTTTAAAATATTTTTTGAAAGCAAAAGGTACAAACTAACAATCACCACTACAACAATAAAAACAAAACAACTTCATATATGTCTGGAATGGCTGACTAGGTTCTTTTAGAACAACCAAGTACAATCAGAAATACTGAACAAAATGTAAAAAAAAATAAATATACGTTTGAAGACATTGGTAAGATATCAAGGCAGTGAGAATTAGTAGGGCCAAAATCTGCAAGAAGAAAGGAGAGAGGCAGCCCAGACATTTGGCACAGCTCTATCCTCAAGACCATGACTGATTCTGAAAGAGAAAACCATAAGGGCAATAAAGCTAAGCAAAAATTAATGTCCAAAGTCTGCTTAGGAGAAGAGGTCCTGAGAAACACCTATGTTCTTATCAAGGACTCTGAAAGGCTACAATCTGGGAATAAGAACAAAACAAAAATAGACCAATCTTTACAAGGGCTCAAGTCTACGTTGGAGTCATCTCAGACACTGACTGGATGATCCACCCTAGCCTAACTGCAAAAATATTCTCCTGGAGAAATATAAAATCATGAAAAACCTGAAATTATTACTACATTTTTTTTTTTTTTTTGGTATACAACATGGACAAAATTTTGATACACAATGTCCAAAACAACCAGGCATCAAGATGAAAATTATGGCTAAACACAAAAAAGTAGACAATAGAAACAAAGCCAAAAGACAAGATTTTCATATCATTAGCTTTGAAATAACTATTCTTAATAAAGTCAAGAAATTAAATGGCAAGATTAAGAAATTAGGCATAGAATAGTCACAGCTGAAGAAAAAAATTAATAACCTAAAAAGCTAGGTCAGAAAAAAATATGCAGAATGAAGTATGGAAAAACAAATGGATTGAAAAAGAATTGAACAACAACAACAAAAAGAATAAAGTGAAAGGGTCTAATGTTAAATGTTAACTGGAACGTTTGAGGGAGGAGACGTATAACTCAGGAGAAGTGGTATTTAAAGAAATAATGACTGAATATTTTCCAAACTGACAGAGTACCAACCCTCACATTAAAAAAAAAAAAAAAAAAAAAAAAAAAATCTACAAAACCCAATAAAGATTACAAAGAAAAAGAAAACATTAACTAAGTACATCAGTCAAACTACTGAAAACCAAGGACAGAGAAAAAAACTTAAAAGGTGTAATCAGATTGACAGCTGACATTTTAGCAGAAACAACAGAATCAAGACTGCAGTGAACTATTTTTAAAGTGCTAAAAGAACAGAACTACCAACCTAGCATTCTGTATCCAGCAAAAATGTCCTTCAAAAATGAGCCTTAAAAACACGTTCAGAAAAACAAAACCTAAGTGAATTTATCACTAAAAGGTCTACTCGAATTCTTCAGGCAGAAGGAAAAGAATTTCACATAAAAATTCAGAGATGTAGGAAGGGGGAGAGAGTCATAAAAAGCGTATGTATGTATGTAAGTAAATCCAAATAAATACTGGCTATATTAAACCTTTTTTGAAAGTCTCACAAGATATTAGTATTATTACCATTAAAACAAATTACAAAACTGGCATCAAAAAGTGTAAGGAGGATCCACAGAGTTTAAGAGCTCTAAAGTCATTTCACTGTCCAGGAGCTGTTAAAAAAAATACTAATTAACAATAGCTTTTAAAAGACCAAGGATGTATGATATAATCTCTAAACAAACAAACAGCAAAAGAATATAATTCAAATAGAAAAAATGAAATGGGAAAATACCCCAAATCAAGGCAATATAAAAAAATATATACAGATGAGACAAATAGAAAATAGATAGTAAGGTGGTTGATTTAAAAACAAACATATCAATGATTATATTAAAAGCAGACTAGAAGTTCCAATTAAAAGATAAAGATTGCCAGTCAGACTCGAGAAAAATAAACCCATCTACACGCAGCTTACAAGAGACATATATTAAATATATTTATAAAGTTGAAAGCAAAATAATAGAAAGATATACCATACAAACAGTAACAAAAGGAAAGCCTATTGATATCACACAAAAAAACTAGTAGTTACATGGCTTGTTCTCTGTGACATTCATTAAGCTCTACATTTATGATTTTACATACTTTTCCATATTAACATTTATTTCAGTAAAAAGTATATACAAAAACCCCTCCATGTGTCTTTTTTATCCCATTACATACTTAATATATCCATATTTGATACAAAAATATTCCAAAATCTACAAGTAAAATTGACACGCCATGAAAACACATCATGCTTATGCTGCATTACATATCATATTTCAGGCTCTCTCCTGAATTGTAATTGCAGTTTGGGAAGAACAACCCTAAGAGGAAGAGGAGAGGTGAAGGAACAGCACAGTATAAGCAAAGTTGCTCATTACCTTGAGATGTAAATTAACCATCTGAAACTATCAGATACTTGTTTACACCTTTTGCTCTATCTTAACTGTACCTTCAAGTTCAGAAAGGTAGACCTTCATGGATGATGAGTACATAGCCCCATTCAACAATCCCTCCTCCACCCCCAATCAAATTTCCCACAGGAAAAGCAGAAACAAGTTTACCATGTCTTTCTGCTGTTTTCTCTGATGAGGGGGTCTCAAATTCTCCCTCCCTACTGCCCCGTTTCCTTCATTCAGATTGGCCATTAGTGAAATCTTTATGTGCAAAAGATACAATAAAACATACCCCTCCTGTCTCAAGTGATTGTTTTGAAATTCTAAATATCTCGACTGTCTGAGGCCCAGTTCATTTAGACCTTGCTCTAACCAGAAATCTTGGTTTGAAATTTTATTCAAACAGCTAGAGAACTGATTATTCAAATATCTGTTTGATATTATACAAGTCCTTCCTTTAGCAGTATACATGATCAAGACAATCTACAAGAGGTATGTGATGTGAAAGTACCATGAATCGAAAACATGAAGCTAAGAGAAGTAAATGAAAAGTGTTATCACTCTTAATTTATTACGAAGAAAGACTAGCAGAATACGATTGAAGCAGTGAACCTGGAGGAAGATTCTAAGGTAACATTAGCAGATTCTGAGGTGTCACTCTCTACATCCTCTGATTCTCTCACTTATGCTTTGCCTTACAGCACACTGATCTTGAGTTTCCATTGTTTTTTGTCCTGGCTGTGATTTTGCCTTAATGCCATAGATAGCCACTTCACCATCTCAGAA